TGCTATCAACAAGCTCTTGGATGCACGATATACCTATAGCCTCATGACCATACTCAAGAAATCATAAATTAGGTATTTTAATGGGTTTATGAATGCATATGCGATTAGCACAGCAATTCGATCGTGAACTTCAAGAAGAATTTCACTAATAAATACCTGAACAACATCCCAAGAAATCACACCCTTGTTTTATTCTGCCCGTTTTTTTTTTTTTTTTTTTTTTTTTGTGATTCCTGATATGTAGTTCAACCAAATATTAGAAGGGCAACCTTCTTAAGAATTCACATAGCTTTTAATTAGAAGTCGGGAATGCATATGCAAATGGCATAATTCTTCCTATAGAAGTATGATCTTTGAGATGAATGAGGTTATAGGCATTGATCACTCCCGATAGAGGGTGGCAACTCTCTTCTATCTAGATTCATCGCATGAACAAAAAAATTAATCCACAAAAATTATCGACCCAAATTCAGATAACAAGAATAAACAATCAAACCTTTCAAAGTAAAACAAGGATCAACAAAGGCTGAAACATGTTACCACAAGATATGTGTGGTAACTCAGTATGTCCTATCAAACTTTCAAGTGTAACCCGGACATAACAGAAGGATGGTTACACTATCATTTCATTGTTCATTTATGAACACATCAAGTTCCAAGCGATTTACGCAAGGAATCAAATCGAGGGGAATCTAAAGGTTTTGTAAAAGAATCAGCAAACTGATTATCTGTTGACACACAGTCTATTGACACAACCTTTTGTTCAACTAGATCTCTACCAAGATTAACAGTTCTTTTACCTCTTACCTGTTTCTTAGTTCCATCACCAAGAGTTGCATGTCCACTTGCACATTTCTGATAGTCCTTCAAGTGCTTCGGATTACCTGTTATATACTTAGAACAACCACTATCACAGTACCACAAGTTACTAGCACAAGTATTAAGAGTAGTTGCAGCGGAAAAACAATTAATATCATCTTTTTTCACCCATTTTTGTTTTATATCAGAGTGTCCCATCTTAGGAGCATGTTGCAACGCAGCGGAACTGGGTAAATGCTGTGACAAACTCTTATTTATCAACTTCCATCTTTAGAAACATTTTGGTCTGATGTGACCCAATTTATGGCAGAAGTGACAAGTTGGAACATACTTTTTTCCATTAGTTTTACAAGAAAACTTTTGGTTTGTTAAGACATGCGAATTGTTAGGACAATCAGTTTTCTTCACAAAAGTGTTTTTAGGATCAACCTTTTTGTCAAACTTACACACATGCTTTTTCTTACTCGCATGAGGTTGATATTTTTTTAAATTTAACTGTTGTTTTAGTTTCTCAACATCTTTTGTAGCAGCATTCAATTTGAACAAAAGTACCTCTTTATCTTTCTCGAGCTCAGCAGCTTGTGTCTTCAAGGCCTTATTCATTTCATCTACAGCAAGACATGTTTTGAGCAATTCATCTTGTTGTTGTTGAATCATTTCTGCAGTAATCGATCTCCTCTTCATCATCTGAGCTGGTTTCACCTGTATTAAAAGAAGAGTTTAGACTAACAAGGTGATCAGACAAAGAATGTTCATACATGATGGATGTCTGCACTGTAGCCTCAGCTATTGGTTGAATAATCGTGCTAGTTCCACAGAAAAGGTTTCCATCCTTTTTGTCTTCCTCCTCATTGGAGTCTTTCATGTCATCACTCTTGGCAGTAGTAACAGATTTTCCCCGCTTCTTTAGTCTATTGGTACACTCGTAATGAGTATGACCAAATCCTTGACATTCTTTACACTGAATTCTTCTTTTCTTGAGGCGTGTGTCAGCCTTTGAGGGATTCTCATTTACTTTGACCATCTTATCAAAATTTTCAGCAATACGTGCCATTAATTTGATAAGTTCTGCTTCAACAGCAGTCACTGTTGGTACATCAGGAGTGGAAACAACAGTAGTCGGAACAACAGAAGTTGGAACATCGGTTGACTGCAGAGCTAAATTTCTTTCTTTGTCCATTCTACTCATACTCAGCTTGTTCTCAAATGTTTGCAAGTTTCCTATGAGCTCGTCATGATGGAGTTCATCAACATTATTAGCCTCTTCAATTGCAGTTATCTTGTATGCAAATCGATCTGGAAGAGATCTTAGAACTTTGCGCACAAGTTTCTCTTCAGAATATGTTTCTCCAAGGCCATGAGCTTCATTAGCAATGTCGCACAACTTCGAATTGAAGTCAGCTACAGTCTCATCTTCTTTCATTCTAAGATCTTCGAAGCGAGTGGCAAGCATCTGGAGTTTTGACAGTCTTACTGAGGTTGTTCCTTCATACGCAGTTTGAAGAATATCCCATGCCCTTTTGGGACATTCACAACCAGATATCAATTTAAATTGGTTGGTGTCGACCGCATTAAATATAGCATTTAAAGCCTTTGAATTGGTATTTGCCACTGTCTGTTCTTTCTTGCTCCAGTTTTCTTCGTGTTTTTCATACTCAACACCTTCTCTGGTTTTGGCCACTGGTCTCGTCCACCCTGTTAGAACTGTACGCCATGAATCTTCATCCATTGATTTGATGAACATCTTCATCTTGGTTTTCCAATACGTATAGTTCGTTCCATCTAGCAACGGGGGTCGTGTAGTTAAACTGCCTTCCTTGTGAATACTCATCCTACAACAAGTAAAGCAAATAAATCAAATTCCCAAAATCAAACACTAAGTATATCTAGTGACTGGCTCTTGATGCCAATTGTTGATTTTGAATGCCTATGAAAATCTGTTAACCGAAGTTGTAACAGTTGTTGTGAGAACAGTATGCAGGTACAACTACAATTCTTGTGTTAACACAGTTATAAACTACTAAAAGCGAGTAAACAAACACAAGAATTTAATGTGGTTCAGACACAAATGTGCCCTACATCCACGTGGACCTGCAAACACGATTTCACTAGTTCAGATTTACAGTGTACATTAATAGGACTTATTAAAAACACTAAAGACTCCCTCTTTATGTAATATGTCGTTCTTGTACACAACTTGAACTCCGTCTCTCTTCCAACAGCAGCTCCACACCGCGTGCCTCGAACTCCCTTCAGAAACGTATACAGCATATCTGTATATATTGGCACACACAGCGATGTCACAGTGCAACGATGGCACAGTCCTGCTCCGCAGAACGCCTTAGCAAACCTTCGACGCTATGAAGTGGTTTTTCTTCCAAATAATGCGCACGGTTCTTGTATGTCTAGGAGGCTTATATAGCCACGAAAATAAGCCCTAAGACCTAACTTGAACCCTAAGAAATCTATTTAACTAGGTAATAGAATCCTAGTTGATTTCTACTTCTATTCTAGATAAGTACAAAAGATATCTAACTAAAATAAAATACATGGAAATAAATCTAAGTCATAATAGAAGTATTATAAAATAGGAGTCTAATAAATTCCAAAATAAACATGGAAAACAAATCTTTGCCAATCTTTTAATTCCAAAACTCGGCGGATTTCCTCAATCTTCAATACTCGGAAATCTGGCGCCAACATTATCCTTCAACCCTACAATTTATCTCATTACAATCCTTCAGTTTATAATTTGGTTAACTTTAACGAAATCTTTTATTTATTGGATACCAAAATTATTATTTATAATAAACTATAAAAAAAATTGAAAAAATAGAAAAATATATCTAATATTCTAATTAGTTCTTTAAATATTAACATAAAAACATAAAAAAAAAAAAAAAAAATTGAATAAAGAATATATATAGATGATACATTACAATTGTTAGATATGTTCCTAAATTCAACTAATATAAAGAAAATAAAAATAAATAATTATTTCAATATTAATATTAATTAATATTCCTTATAATTTTTGAAAGTTATATTTTTTCTTGATCGAAAAATATTAGTTTAAATTATAAAATTAATTATTTATTAGTTTTTCCATGATTTATCAAAAATAATTAATAATCCAATATTCCATCCAATCTTAAGAGATTGCGTTAAAATTACAAAAAATATATATATACCCATAAATTATAATGAGATGAATAATAGAAATGATATATTAAAAAAAGAACCAATTAAGACACGAAGGACCAAAACATGAATAAATATTAAAATGAGGGACCATCAGTGAGATTCGGCCTCGTATATTTTCATGTGAATCGACATCAATTATAAAATTTGTTTTCAATTATAATATTTTTGAATTGAATATTATTTACTATTTGTACTTTATTTAGCATTTAAAATTGTGATAAAATACTTTTTCCTGTCCAAAAGTCTTTCAAAAAGATATATATATATATATATAGACTTCACCAAAAATTACAGCCTTTTCTTTTCTTCTTCCTCATCACGTTCTTCCTTCCCTGCCTTCTCAATTCTACAGCAAATTGCATTTTAATTTATATAATTTTAATTTGTCAACTCTTGTATTTGATTAGAAAACTAATTGTGTCCTTTTCTTTTTTGGCAAATTACGATCACCCCAGAGTTATGGTCAATTACAAAAAAATTCCTCATGTTTGGATAATTACAATCACCCCCTCAATTATGTATTATGTTACCAAAAAACCTTTCTAGAGGTAAATTTAGGAACGTTAAATCGGTAAAATTGAACCGAAATTTCGGTACGCCAACATTTCATACCGTTTACCGAACTGAATATACAATTTGGTTCGGTAAATAACCTAATTACATTAATTTATGTAAAAATATTTAAAAGAAGTGGGTAGTTGTAATTACCTAAACAAGAGGAGTTTTTTTCGTAATTATGCCATACATCAGGGGTGGCAGTAATTTACATTTTCTTTCTTCATATTGCCATGTCTTTGATTCCGCCTTCCCTGAATTTTTCTCTATTTCTCCCTCTCTTTTTTCATTTCCAATATCAAAATTTCCAAGAAAAGAAAAAAAAAGTGTTTCCTTAATTTGAATTAAATACGATACTACTGTTAATTTTTTTTTTTATTTTTTTTTTATTTTTTTTATTTTTTGTTGAAGGGTTTTCAGTTATGAGCACGCAAAAGCTTCTCGATATCGATCCTCAGCCGCTAGCTTTTCGCTGTAAGTTTCTACGTTAATCTTGACCGTACATTTTTATAAAAAACAATTTGTTTGATTATTTGTTTGTTTATCTATTTAGACTTTTTTTTTTCAATGGGGTTTTGTATTTGGGTTTTATAGTTGAGCTGGGGAGACAAGCTTCTTGCAGAATTAAGATATCTAATAACTCCCAAGGGCATGTTGCTTTTAAGGTAACATGTTTGAGTTTTATGTAATATATCAATTAATCAATTATTTGTATTTATATTTTAATCTGATGATGCAATGTTTTATTTCAGGTTCTGACGACAAGTCCTCAGAGATTCGGCGCTCGACCCAATGTTGGAGTTCTTAAGCCCAAATCATGTGTTGAAATTACAGGTTCTCAAGAAACAATCTGTGTGTGTGCTTCTTTTCGAGGAAATTTGTCTCTGATCGGGGAGATTAGCAATTATTAATTAAATAATTGGAATTTGTTTGATGTTTGGTATCCCCAATAATTTGTCGGGTCGACTCACAAATGTTATGTTATGATGGTTTATCTTGTCTTTTAGGGAGTTTTTTTGCTTGACGTCGTCCTAGAGTCTGATAAAATAATTGGATTTTCATTAGATTATTTAATCTTATCTTGGCTAATCTTATATTGGCAACCAAACGAGGTTTAAGTGTGTTTGTTTTGTGTTTTGCAGTAATTATGCAGGGCCCGACAGAGATCCCTTATAACATGGAGTGTAATGATAAGTTTATGATAAGAAGCGCTATTGCAACACCTAATCACACGCCAGAAAATGCACATGAGCTGGTAATCAATCATATGCTTGATTAAATTCCGGGCCTGTTTTGAAATGACGTTGAATAAAGTAATCAATAAAATAAGGCCTCGTTTGGTTGTGGAGATTAGCAATTATTAACTAAATAATTGGACTTTACTTGATATTTGGTAACACCAAAAATTTGCAGGGTCGACTAGTAATTATTATATTATCATGACTTATCTTACCTTCTAGGTATATTTTATTGGATCATCGAAGGTCTAATAATATAATTGGATTTATTAGATTATTTAGTCTTATATTGGCAACCAAACGAGGCATCCTTGTATGGGATAAGAATATCCTTCATAGAATTGTGTAATAATAGGGGTTGAGGTAGAGGCAGAACTCAAAATCATTCATATTCTTGATTAAATTCTTGGGTCCATTTTCAATCGCGGGCTTCATCCCAAAACCCCAAACATTTGATACATCTTGATTATGTAGTCTATTAGAGCATCTCTGACCGATTCATCTAATTTAAGTGTTTTTAGTCATTCGCCCAAAATTCATATATGACCATTACACCTAAAATTAAGACCTTGTTTGATGGTAAACCTAATAACTTCAAAGGTCGACCCGAAAATAGTATGTTATCATGTCTTATCATGCCTTTTAGGGAGCTTTTTTTGTTGGACGTCTCGGGGTCCGATAAAATAATTGGTTTTTTATTAAATTATTTAATCTTATCTTGGTTAATCCTATCTTGGCAACCAAACGAGGCCTAAGTCCTGTTCTTATTCCCAAACAAGGCCTTGGAATGTTTGTGTGATATAGTGTAATGAAATGGGAATAAAAGATGTGTTTGGAAGTTCTTTGCACTCCATTTATCTGTTTGTTTGGACGATCATAAATACATTAATATATTAAGAAAAATATTTTCTTGATTGTAGTTCAATGAAGAAGTACGTGCGGACGAAGGTTGCAGTTTGAAAGTGGTGTATGTTATTCCAAATGCATCGACTTCGCAACAGGTATATTTTAAATAAACACTAAGGTTGTTTATTTTACTTAACTATCTGAAACAATTTCATCCTCTTCATTCATTTAATATTCTTACACGTGCATAATTATACGTTTAAAGTTATGACACGTGATGTAATCAGGGCCGGTCCTGGGGTGGGGCGAGCAGGGCCCACGCCCAGGGCCCAATTGGCTAGAGGGGCCCAATTTTTCATTTTTTATATATTATATATTTTTTTATATATAAAAATTTATTGTTTTATTATTAAAAAAATCATAATCTTTTATTTAAAAAAAGATCTTCTATTATTATTTTTAAATTTAGTATTAAAGTAGACATAAAATTTTAATATTTTATTTAGTCAAACAAAAATTTATTACATATTTCTCTAACATTTGTTTAAAAAAAAAATCGGGGCGTTTCTCTTAAATTCCCGTATTATTAGTTATACAAATTTTATTCTCGCCCAGGGCCCCCGAATACGCCGGACCGGCCCTGGATGTAATACAGGGGCATGGCGGAAATGGAATCGATGTTGTTGATTGGTTGAAGAAAGGCATTGCTATTGTCTTGCTATGTTTGATCATTGGGTTTCTCGCAATGAAGATTATGCCACTCATATGGTCTTTTTTTTTTTTTGGTTGATTTTTGAACATTTAAAAAGTATCAACTTCTTCATAATTTAATGTGTTTAAAACAACATTTGTCTTGCAGGAGTTTGACTTTTATGATGACGGTGTTGGTAGTGAAATTGGGGAAGAAGTTTTTTTCAGATAATGCTGAACAATGGATACTGAATATTATTCTTGCCTTTGGTGTTCATATCTTTTCGACTGTTTTCGGGCGGGGAGGAGCTAACTGAACAAATGATTGTATGTGTTTTCTGATTCTGAAGGTGTTTTCGTATTTTATACGCACTATTACCCTAGGCTGAAAGGCAAATCGGAGGGTTTTGCATTTGGTGTGAGTTCCAAATTATGGCACCTCGTTCGTTTGTAATAATGTTGTGGTGAATTGTAAATATTTACGGTGTGCTTCTTTTAATTATGTTTTATGTCATGCTTGGGATTACAGAAAAAAAAAGAAAAAAAAAAAAAAACCAATCAAATAGATTGTATTATTGCCAACTTGAGAATAATTGTATTTTTTTTAAATATCTTGAAAATAATTGTTTGATTTGTATTGATTTTTCTCGTTATATTAGTAAAGCTATTTTTTAGGTGCGATTAAGCGCTCATTTCACTAGGTGCAATGTTGCTTGGGAAGGGGTATGCTTTCCCAGGAATGAAGTAGATTTGGATTTTAGAGACTTGAGAAATGGAATTTGAAATGTTTATGAAAGAAATTTGGAACATCCATTCAAAGAAAGAATCACTATGGGTTAAGTGGCTCCATGCCTAATTGTTCAATATTGTGGAGTTTTGGCAGTGGGCTCCAAAAATGGATTTTGCTCATTTACTGAAATCTTTGGTGGGATTGAGAAATAATTTGGTAGGGAAAGCTGACTCTAATCAAATAGCGACAAATTTATTGATGGAATGGAAGAGGAGGCAAGTTTAACATCAAATGTCCATATCAATGGTTGAGAAGAACAAAGAACGAGATGGCGTGGTTGGGAAAGCTTCTATGGCCAAACTTTATCCCTCTTAAGCACTCCTTCCGCATGTGATTGAGAATTACTGATAGACTGAGGACAAGGGATAAGCTCAGCAACATAATAGAAGATACACAATGCCCCATGTGTGGATTGGAGCCTGAAACTGCAGCCCATCCGTTCTTCACTTGCATATTCAGTCACGGAATTTGGAACTAGATCAAGATGTGGTTGGGTATGAATGGAGCCCTCTCGTCATTGGAGTTGGATGTGAAGAGATTCAAGGCACAAGACAGAGTCAAAACTATTAAAAGCAAGGGGAAGATGTTGGTTTTATCCTGCACAGTTTACTCCATTTGGCAAGATGATGGCTTTAGCATGTGTAGCTTTTGATGGAGCTATTCCAAATAAAGAGGAGGTAATATAAACAATTGAATTCATGGTATATAGAAATATGTATGTGTTGTTCCCCTGGATTCTCAATGCTGGAAATAAAGTGAAAATATGATAACGTGAGGTGCGATGGCAGTTTGGAAGGAAAAGATGGGTGGTTTGCTGAATTTTTTTTTGAAACAGTTGAAAATTTGTTGGATATCTCTTGATATGGATGACTTCTCTGGTTTTGATGAAGATCAGTTTTACTAAGAGGTTTTTTAGCAAAACTGGATTGATACTCTTACTGGTTGGATGTTTTGGAAAGCAAGGGCTTGTGAACCCATCATCCTTTATTTGAAGAGCCAGAAGTGGGCACCTTGTGCAGCTCTTGATTTGACTGAATACGAGACTTGCCTTTCATGTGCTTGGCATTTATAGGAGCTGACTTGGAGAGAAGACTGCCATAGAGCTTGGTCAGACACTAACATCCTCTATGGCCATATGGTACTTGCTTAGTTGAAGGGCCAAAACACCTCTATCTCCTGTTATGGTTTGGTCTCCTCTATGGCCATATGGTACTTGCTTAGTTGAAGGGCCAAAACACCTCTATCTCCTGTTATGGTTTGGTATAAGATCAGGTTTGCTTGTTCCCATTCAAGTAAGGTTGGATTCTTGTCTCATTTTAAAGCCAGAGGCTTGTGAACCGGCCCGGAACCCGTGAACCGGTTTGAGCCATAAACTCATTCTCCTTGAGATAGTTTGTAGATAGTCTGAAGACCAACTCTGGCCTCCCCCCATGGTGAGCCAATTTTAAAGACTTTGAAAAACTAGGCTGCTGGTTTTGAGAGGCCAACAACATCTCCTGATGTGTGGGACTTGCATAGAGTGATCCCTCAGTTTGGCTCAAACTGATTGAAGACAACCAAAGAATTAAGGAACCAAACCTTTCTGCAGCTTGTTTAAAAATTATGAATTCATAATGGATTATGCAAAATCAGTAGATAGTTGTAGCTATGTATATATGTTTGATTCTTTTGGAGTGGGATAGGTAGACAGGTTTTCTAACTCCATTTATGAAGTTACTCAAAATTAAAATTAAAGTTGGTAGGTTGAAAGTTTTTTTTGGGAAATAAAACGACTCACAGTTGGCCACAAGGCGAGAACCATCGGGTCCGAGTTTTAGCGAGCCCAAACCCGACCCACGGGGACGCGGGGCAGAGTCCGGGGCCAGTCCTGGTTTGAGCGTACATATACTATATACACAATGACATCGGATAAAAACAGTGTTTATTATGTGCTAAATGTTCGAAAAGGGGGATTATTTGAGAAACCCCATCATATGTAGATACGGCCATGGCCCGGTTTTGGGCCCGGAACCGGCCCGAACCGTTGACCGATGAACTGGCCGTAAACACGTGAACTGGCTCGTCGTCCCCAGCACGGGCCCGGTTCTATGAATTGGTGAACCGTGAACCGTCGGGCCGGCCCGGCGGTTCACCCGAATTTAAAAAAAAAATTCAAAAAAAAAAGAAGCAAATAACGGCCGGTGAACCGGCCCAGTGAACCGGCCGTTATTTGCTATTTTTTGAATTCCCCCCCCCCCCCCATTTTTTCTTATAAATACCCTCACACCCCAATTTTTCCTATAAAATTAACTTAAAGTCCTTTTATTTATTTTCTTTTGTTTTTTTCCTATTTAAAAGTAATTATTTTAATTTATTTATCCATTAAGTATTTTTTCTTATATATATATATAATTCCGGGCCGACCCGGAACCGGCACGAATAGGCCCGGAACCGGAGTGAACCGGCGGGCCGACCCGGTTATAGAAAAGCAAACCGCGAACCGGAGTGAACCGGCCCATGACCGTGTCTAATCATATGCATTGTATCATTAGGGTCCAAGGCACCCCTTTACAAAATCAGGTTCTTAACTGATTGAATTTTGTATTTATAATCTTTTTATTAGTTAAAAGAATTATTTTCACGTGAAAACAATAAATTTAAAAAAAAAATCACCTTTAACATGAAATATATAATAAATTTGATATTATGAAAACATGCATTGTAAGTGTAATTTTGAATTTTAGTATTATTTTGGAAAATAAAATTTGTCGAAAATTGGAATCTCATATATGTTCAGATAAAAGAAAAATTGAAAATTCGAAATTGAAATTTTTAGAGATTTGAATGAAAGTTATTGTCCCAAAATTGGAATTTTTTCATCGAAATTACATGATTCGAAAATTTCTTTCTAATTTTTACCCATAAAACTAATCTAACATTTAACTAATACATATGTTAGTTTTCTAGTCAAACCATACTTATCAGTTTAGCAAATGTTCATCATTAATACAGATTCTTTTCAAAATTACACATTAATTTTGTAGAAATAGTATTGAAAAACTAGGTTAAGATGATGTGTCAAAGTGGAAGAAAATATATATTTAAAAAAATAATGAAAAAGGGTAAAAGGAGGGAGAGAAAACAAGAAAAGGAAAAGAAAATAATTAGTTCACAATTTATTTTTTCTTTTTAATGTCTCCACGTGTAAACAACTGATGAATAGCGTCCGATAATATTGAATTTTCAGACCATCCGCTCCCAATTTACGCCCTAAAAAATATGTTTATTGTTTGAAGTTGTTGAGGTAATAAAACAAATGACATGGAAATAATTAAATATGATAAGCGGTGATGATCTGTTTTTATGATTTATTTCTACCAATTAATTTTTCACATGAGATGAAATTGATGACATGTCATCAATTGCAATTGCCAAATGTCAAGCAACTAATTGTAGAATTCATCATGTTTTATATA